TATTCCCCCATACTTCAACACAATAACTCAGATAGGGTAGAAACAATGAAAAATATATTATTCTCATTGTCTTGTAATCTAATATATCTTACATTACCCAGGAAATAAATATCTTTAGCCAACTTCTTTTAACATGTTCAATATGAGGTTTCCATGTTAACTTGTCATCCACTATTACACCCAGAAAACGGAATTCTGTCACTCTTTCAATTAATACTCCCTCTATAGATAATACTATCTCTTCCTCCTTTACACGGTTTCCGAATATCATAAACTTTGTTTTTTCCAAATTCGGCGATAACTTATTTACATCAAACCATTTTGTTTATTTTTTTCATTTCAGTAACCATAATTTTAGCCAATTCTTTCAAGTTTTTTCCGGAACAATAAAAATTTGAATCGTCTGCAAACAAAACAAAATGTAACATTTTTGACACATCACAAATGTCATTTATATATAAATTAAAAGGTTTTGGTCCTAAAACAGAACCTTGAGGGACCCCACATTCTATTTTCATTCTATCAGATGAATTGCCTTAACACTGCACATACTGAAACCTATTATCTAAATAACTGCTTAGTTCAATACTATTCCTCTCACACCATACGTACTTAACTTAGAAATCAAGATGGAGTGTTGCAGAGTGTCAAAAGCTTTTCTTAAATCAATGAATACCCCTACAGTATATTTATTATGATGTGTTGCTGATGAAATGTCTTCGATAGTATTCATTAATGCTTTTGCTGTTGATCTGTTCCATCGAAATCCGTACTGACTTTCGCTTAACAGTTGATGTTTTTCAATGAAACTATCAAATCTTTGTCCAAAGAGTTTTTCAAGCACTTTAGAAAACTGTGATAGCAATGATACTGGTCTATAATTATTAAAACTATGTCTGTCTCCTGATTTATAAAGGGGGATAACTTTTGCCACTTTCATTCGGTCAGGAAATACACCCGTATAAAATGAGAGATTAAAAATATAACAGAGAGGTTTGATTATACAATCCAAGGTCTTTTTTACGATGACCATGTCTAACCCATCACAGTCAGTGGATGTCTTGTTTTTAGATTTTGCTACAATAGCTATGATTTCTTTTTCAGGGATTTCCCCTAAAAACATAGACTGTACCACTCTGCTATCTCCTTTCCATTCGTTATTTCATCTGAATCATCCTGTTTTCTAATTAAGTTTGCCAGGTTAGGCCCAATATTTACAAAAAAAGAATTAAAGCCATTTACCACTTCATTCTTATCACGTACGACCTTATTTTTCTTATTAAAGTAAGTAGGTAAATTTAAAGATGTATTATTATTACCCAATAAGTTTTTTAAGATATTCCACGTACCCTTAACATTATTTTTGTTTTTGTAAAATAATTTATTATAATACTCTTTCTTAGCCTTTCTGATAATTAATACTAACTTATTTTTATAAACTTTATATTTCATTTCAGCAGGCTTTGTTCTAAGTTTTATATAATCTCTATACAATTTATTTTTCTTTTTACATGCATTTTCTAGTCCTTTTGTTATCCATGGTTTACCAGTAGTTTTCTTTTTCTTTTGCTTATATAATACCAGTGGACAGTGATTTTCATACAAAACCAAATAAGTATTTAAGAATGCCTCGTATGCAGCATTAACGTCATTTACATAAACCTCATTCCAATCTTCTTTCATAAGATCTTGCCTGAACTCATTTATTGCATCATCATTTCTAATTCTTATATATCTGTCCACACACACTTCCTCCTTTTGTGTCATTTTATAATCTAAAGTAACAAAAACAGGTAAATGATCACTTATGCCATTTATGACAAGACCACTTATAATGTTGCTTTCCAAGCATTAAGCACATTCCTTTCTGGATCGATATTATTTTCAAAATCATGTAATTTGTAATCCGAATCTTCAGTCATTGTGATTGAGTATTCTTTAAATGTCTGTTATCCTTATGACATATACAAGTATTTTACAACATATTTTGAAAAACCACTCATAGCTATACAGTTCTTTCTGATCCATACATAACTGCGGCTCAGATCTATATCTCGTCTTCGCGCATAATTGTAACACCGTCGGTCCCAGTTCCATATCCACCTGCAGCTTCACAGTAATACTCTTCCAGTCTACTGTCTCATACCTTGCCATTTTCCCCCTCCTACAGTCGGAAATAGTGTCTTTCATTGAATAAGTTTGGCTAGTTGTTAGCAAACACATCATAACAGACCTTCTGCCGTCCGACCGCAACAGTGTCATCATCCCCTGTAGTTTTTAAGAATGTGGTCATGATAAAAATAATATCTTATACTGGTTTATGTTTTACAAACTTTTCACAGTAAAGAGAGGAGCTGGTTGACCTTGGATTAACTCTAAAAGCTGTTATTAACATCTTAAAAACAAAAGCTATCAGATTCTCTCTCTGTGATAAAATGAATTCACTTCAATGACACTGGAATCCTAGAATAGACACTTGGACATAAACTTAGCTAATAATTTGAAACCTTCATCCTAAGAACCAACAGTCACACAGGTGACACCGCTCCTTTACACATTGAGGGAAGTTTCTATTAAAGTTTGAACATTGACTCTCCCACAGTTTTCCTGACTGTAAAAATAGGTCCGGACTCTTATGGGTTATTATGCATGTATATGTATATATCAGGGAACGAGGAAGTTTGTTTAATGTAATATCTGTCTTTGTTTTACTCTGACCTGATGACACAGGGCTCACTGATGATATCATTGATGATGCAGCACCTCCTGCCTCTCGCTACTCTGCTCCTTCTGTCCATCGTTCCCACTGAAACTGAAGTGGTGGCATCAGTGGCACAATGTAATGAGTTTTTTCTTGCGCAAACTCCACCAAACATCCCAGACATTTTGGAGGAAGGGAACATCAAGGACCAGAACAGATACAAAGTGATTTGCCAGACTTTGAGAGACATCAGGAGGTTTGTGACGCTGTACGACACCCAAAACAGGATTCCAGTTTTTTCTGCTGCAGAGTACAGAGGTGGAAGCGAGGGAAAAAGAAGTTTTTGGAAGATTGAACCACAGGTATCATTATAAGTAACAGTCATCAATTTTAATACATCTTTTTAAGCTTTAATAAAATATGTTCATAATGCAGTGCTACATGATGATAATACAGACCACATTTATTACTGTGAATCTTAGTATACCACTAAAATTAAACCAACTACCCACAGTGCTGTGCTACTGCTGTTGGGACTAAAGCACTGCAGTGAACTACACAACTTTTATGGTAACACTTCATAATAATGTAATTCTATTACGCATTATTGAGGCATTAGTACGTAAAATATTTCCTCTTAATTAAAAAGTCCATGTATAACACGTTCATGGTGACATTTAGAGAGGCTGAAAAAGTGATTAACAAAGTATTTAAATGTAGATTTATATACATAGCAATTAAGATATGAGCTCATTGTTTGTGAGTGTTCTAATAAAGATTGTATTAATACTTATTTCATACTGTAATTCATGATTAATTCAATCAGTTATTAATTGTTAGTTTAGTACTTTGTTTGACTGCATTTAAAGTGAGGAGTATTTTTGCCACATAAAGCATTTATATAAGAAAATGAAAGTATTTCAAGTCTGCATTTACAAAACTAATACCTCATCAATGCTTAATAGTCCGAGATTATTATAAAGTATTACTGCTTTAACTTATTACTTATATTCAGTGATCCCACTTATATGTTGATGACGCTACATAGATTTTCCATTTTTCCTGTTATAGGACACGTCTGTATGTTTCCTATGCAATAGCAGTCTTGTCAATTAAAGTTTGCCTTTTTAAATGGTAGCATTAAAATATGTAAAGCTCACAACTTAAGAGGGCTGTTATTATGTTTAAATTATACAACTTTGATCAACCAATTAGTAAATGTACATTTAGTCCACTTTGCAGCAGCCATGCATGGATCACTAATATATCATTTTCACTTTTATAGCTTGAAAACATAAATGACAATGACAATATGATACCAGCAGACAAGAAAATCACCTACGACCACCAGGCTGGAATTAATGATTACGCCAAACAGACAGAGTTTGAGAAAGGGCATTTATTTCCAAGCTCTTATAGATCTGATGAAGTTGACAAAAGATCTACCTTTACCCTGACTAATGCTGTTCCACAAAGAAAACTATTTAACAATGGTAGGTGGAGCAGCATGGAGAGATGTGTTAAATGCATTTTGGATAAATACTGCATTAACAACAATAACCAAGTAGAAGACTTTGTAGTGATTGGAGCAAAGCCCAGCAACGAAAAACCACTCAAAGAAAGGATAAATATTCCTTCAGTGCTGTGGTCGGCGTTCTGCTGTTACAGTCACAGTCAGAACAAATGGCTGGCAAGTGCACACTGGGGCAACAACACAGATCTTGGCCCGACATATCTGCAGACCAAGACCTTGGGAGAACTCCTCACAGAGCTGGGAATTGAAGCATTTCCTGGAAAAGAATGTCCTAAAGACGAAAGTGTCACTCAGCTTTACTCACAACCTGCGTGTAAATCCCATTGCCGACAATAATGGAACAGAAAGAAGAGTACATCTACTCGTCCTACAACCACCCCCACCCCTTCAGTCTTCTTCTTCCACATCTAATTCACCAATCCCTCCCAGCACCACATCTTTCTCATCACCTGGAACATCTGTCCCACTTTCCCGCACAGTTCCAAATTACAGTACCACATCTGGCAATCCAACAACTGTCCCTCTGGGTACTACAACCAGTGTCTACTGCTGCAACTGTCCAGATTTCTAGCACATTTCTCAAAAAGTTTCGAGTAAATGAGAGTGATGAGATTCCTCATAAGGGTAGTGTCTTGAAGAACATCAGAAGCATTATTGTGAAATGGAAGGGCATCATCAGTTTTTCTCAGGTTTATTGATCATTTCATGCTGATGTTTTCTTACTAGAGTCTCTCTAAACATTGTTCTCTAACAGACAGGTACCATAGACCACAACACAATGCAAATATTGTTGGTGCTTCATGAAGGAAGCCTGCAATCCAAACTTTTGGCTGAATAAACAACATCAACATTACAATTTTCCTAAATCGAGTAGAGAAGTTAAAAATAAAACAAGTTGGATTATATCTTTGTAGCAAAGATATATATATAAAACATTTATTATGCATAAAGGGAAACTAAGCATGGTTTTAACATAAGCAGTTATATTACATTTTAATCATAAATGTCTGATTTAAACCACATTTATTTATCATTTATGCCTGAGATGATAATGAAGTACAAGCTACAGATGTGATTTAAGGAAATAATAATGTTTTTGTTTCGGGGTTCTTATAAAGTTGTGGTTCCTGCTTTGTAATCTCCATGTTTATTCTTTCTTGCGTTTATAATGATCATATTTTCCTATTTCCTATAGTTTTGCTTTTGGTACTTTGCCTGTCTCATGTGCCTTGATTTTATGCCTTTATTTGCCCTCCTGGGTGCCTGATTGATTCTTGTGTTTTGTCAGATTTCCTTTCTTTGTTTTTGTCTTGTTGACATTTATTCTTCCTGCATTTTGGATATTTTATCTGCCAGCACTGTTATTTTACTTTTACTTACAGTCAGAGTTCAGCCATCATTGTGATTATTACACTGTACTCATGTACAGTGTAATACAGTGTACTCATACTCAAAGTAAATGATGTGACCAACAGTAACTGCTTTGACATCATCTCCCTCAAATATTGAAACAACTTTAAATTTTATTTGAAAATGTCAGAAATGTATCAAATAGCAAAAGCAAGGAAGATTTGAGACGAGATTTACACACACTGTGATGTGCTGGTATACAGAAAAATGTTTAATGATGTGTTCACCAACAGCTATAGAGATAAGAGAAGTATTTGTTGAAGTATTGAGTTGTAGTACCAGCTACAACTCAACCACTGGTTGATCTAGAGCTGGAGCCTATCCCAGCTGTCAAACGGTGAGAGGAGTTATGGACAAATTGCCAGAAATGTTGAGAGACAGATCTGAGAATAACCATATAACCCAGCACATCATTGAACTGTGGATGGAAGCTTGGAGAGAACCCACACCAGCACTGGGAGAAGATACAATCTCCACACCGAAGACCAGGAAACTGATGGATTCACATCCAGGACCGTCTTCCTGTGAGGCCGTGGTGCTAATCATCGTATCATCATGCAGCCCGTGTTAAACAATATGACTGTAACTACCCTCTATAGTGTTTTGTAAAACATTTAATATGTTAATGTGGTTCTAATAAATGACAACTGGAGCATCAAAGAGTGCATTTTGTGTTTTCTGTTGGAAAATACACTTCAGCATTTAAAAAAGGCATCATTTTAAATCTGGGTGAAGTATTTTTATAGGAAATCAAAAAGGATCAAACTCATATTGAGGATAAATGTGTGAATGACTATTAAGTTACATAGATGCTGCCTTGATTTGCAGCCCAATGTCTGTTCAAAACTAACTTTTCAGGAATAATTAAAAGTAACTTTCAGTGTACGATGAAGCCCTCTGTCTGTAACTCAGGGTATCAGCATGTTTACACTGTTGACAGGTGACAAAAAGAAGTTTTTCTTTTAGGTAATCAACATTATTGTTACCCTGTAACTCAGGATAACAATAATAATGATATTATTATTATTATTATTATTATTATTATTATTATTATTATTAATCATATTACTACAAGTTTAAAGGCTTTCATGGCTGAAAACTTCAATTTAATAAAGTGGGATCGATTGAATCTCAGTGATTTAGATGTCACTCATAGGGAGTTCCCTGTTTTGTTTGTCTAGTGCACGAGGACGCACTCATGCAAACAAGTGAGGCATTTCACATTATTCCACTGAGCTATAGGTGGAGGATATGCACTCTGACAAAGTCAGTCATGGGCACGGGTGCCGCCAGGGATTTGGGGCCATGTGAAGAAAAAAAATATCATTAAGGGCCCCACCACTTAAATATTGCAAATATACCAACCCTAAAAATATGACAATGTGAACACATGGATCAGTATCTTGCTTACATAAATTGATTTTTTGATTTAATGCAAGACTGCTGAGATATATGAAAGCCATTGACATTTTTACATATTATACACACACACATACATACACACACACACACACACACACACACACACATATATATATATATATATATATATATATATATATATATACATATATATGCCTAACAATCATTGGCAGTGTGCAAAATATATCCAGAGCAATACACACTGGCTTATAGTGTGTAGAAAAAAAACGTTACCCTGAACTCACCTATTTCTTCGGATATCAGTGGGGCTGGTTCACTGTCATGAGTGTGAGTTTGGGGAGATGCGTGGGACAGCTGAGCCAGAGGTTTGCCGTGGCACCAGGTCGTCAGATTAGTGATCAAACATATGTGCGGAGGATCTGCCTGCACCAATTACACGTTGGCTAAAGGAACACAAACACATTATTTTCTGTTAGAAATGAAGTAAGCTAACTAATACTAGGAAAGTCAAGCAGTTTCTTTCATATGGACTTTGTTATGAGTTTAATTTCACCTATCTTAATTTCTTTTTTGAAAATGGACATAAGTTTTCAATGGAGAGACTCTTCCATCTGGTGCATCTGGACCAAACCAAATCATGAAATAAGGAGGGGGGGGGGCGGCTGGGTCACCAGAGTATATATATATATATATATATGATATAATTTTGTTCCTCTACCCCCCCCCCCCCATTTTTTGCACATGTCGAGGAGCGTGTCGCTCATACTGTGTTTATACTTGTATACTATGCATGTGACAATAAAGACCTTGAACCTGATGGGCTGGGCTGTAGTTACATCCTAAGGTTTTAAAAACTGAGCTTAAATAAATGATTAGCGGTAATAAAAGCCGAGGGAGGGCAACAGTGATCACTGACTGTTTTAGGAGCTTTTTGAGATTAAATAGAAGAAAATACAAAATTAAACATGTTAACAACACAAAAGCCATATTAAACGCAGACTACTTTAGGCCCGGAAGTAGGATTCGTCACGTCATCACTTAACGACCAAATACCTTCATTGTACAGGCTGTGTCCCAATTCAGGGTCTGCACGCTTGAAGTACGTGCACTACGCGTACTACGTACGGTGCTACTAAAGTACGAGAAGTGCGGAAGTGAGAGGCTTGTGAAATGGGACGGTCTAGCCTCCGTCCGCTGTTCAGGTTGCCTAGCAACCATGATACTAACCGCAAGAAACGTTATATCAGCTTTTTTGACAGAAATGAAGGAGAAAAATGTTTTGTTGGTCATTCATTTGTCATTAGATAGAGTATGGCGATACCACTTTTTTATGTCCGATACCGATACCGATATCATAAATTTGGATATCTGCCGATACCGATATGAATCCGATATAGTGTTTTTTAATCAACAAAACTGTTTTTTAAATATCTTGCTGCATTTTGTATAAGTTCATACTCAAGTTTAAAACAACAACTACACTAAAGCTATTCTGTTATACCTGTATGCAAAAAAAAATATTTCATAGTTCAGCAATACTGATCAATCTAATAAACTTAAACCTACACCATCCTCCCTATTCTGGTATTTTAAAGAGTACTTAGCGTAAATATTAAGCAACCTAACTAATAGGGTTCCAACTCCCAGCAACAACAAAAATAGATGTAGCCCGGGTATATTTTATGGGGCTAAGTTTTATTTCCAGTTGGATATATCTGAATAGCACTAAAGGCTATGCCCCTACGCAGCGCAGTAAGAAAGGCCAGGCAGGACAAGGAAAGACCTACTTGAAGGAATCAGAGCCCTTTGGGAGTAGATGGGATCTGCCGTGTGTTGATGCTTTTCACCACATCATTCAGTGTCTGACCACTGCCCCTGTGCTAGCCTTTGCCGATGTAAACAAGCCATACACCCTTCATGTGGATGCCAGTCTGAAAGGTCTTGGGGCCGTGTTGTACCAAGAGCACCCCAGGGGCTGCGGCCCGTGGCTTTTGCCAGCCGGAAATTGAGCTGCCCCGAACAGCGGTACCCAGTGCACCAGTTAGAGTTCCTGGCTTTGAAATGGGCCGTCGTGGACAAATTCCATGACTATTTGTATGGCGCAAAGTTTACTGTGCGCACTGATAACAATCCGCTGACGTATGTCCTTACCACTGCAAAGCTAAATGCAACAGGGCACCGATGGCTCGCGGCTCTAGCTAGTTATGACTTTAATCTTCAGTATCGGTCTGGCAAGACTAATATAGATGCTGATTTGTTATCAAGAAACATGGTTGATGACTTGAAGGAGACAGAATGGGATCAGGTCTCTCAAAGTGGCGTAAAGTCTATTTGTAAGAGAATATGCCTGGATGATGCAACTGAGACCAATGCGAGATACATCGATCAGTTGGGGGCACCTCCCGAGTGTGTTCCGGCTGTGTATGCTACTCAGTTAAGTCTGTCAGCAGTAGGGCAGGTGTCAAGGCCAGAGTTGCAACAAGCTCAAAGAACAGACCATGCCCTAGGAGAGTGATCGATGCGCTGAACACTGGTACTTGGCCAAAAGGTATCCATTCTGACCCAGAGTTTGTGCTAATGAGGCGGGAGGCCAGCAAACTTGTCATGAGAGATGGGTTACTTTACAGGACAACCCGAAAGCAGTCCGGGGATGAGCTGTACCAGCTTGTGTTGCCTTCTCAATACAGAGAACAGGTATTGCGGTCTGCTCATGATGATATGGGACATTTAGGAATAGAAAGAGCCACTGACCTTCTGAGAGATCGGTTTTATTGGCCAAAAATGGCAAATGACGTGGAGCAGTATGTCAAAAACTGTGGGGTATGTGTCACCCATAAAACACCCTACAAGAGAGCAGCCTTTTTGCACCAGATGAGCAGCAAGGGTCCCATGGACTTGGTTTGCATGGATTTTCTGTCTATGGAGCCAGACTCCAAGGGGATAGGTAATGTCTTGGTGGTAACTGACCATTTTACCCGGTACGCACAGGCTTTCCCCACCAAAAACCAAAAAGCCACCACGGTTGCCAAAGTGTTGGTGGACAAATATTTTGTGCACTATGGATTGCCTGCCAGAATACATTCTGACCAAGGACGAGACTTCGAGAGCCGGTTAATCCGTGAGCTCTTGCGGTCATTGGGTATACGGAAGTCTCGGACAACTCCCTATCACCCCCAGGGGGATCCACAACCCGAGAGATTCAATCGAACCTTGTTGTCAATGTTAGCGACACTAGGGGATGAGAAGAAGCGAACTTGGAGTCAGCATGTAGGGTCGCTAGTTCATGCCTATAATAGCACAAAGAGCGATGCCACAGGGTATTCTCCCTATTTTTTGATGTTTGGGAGGGAGGCTAGGCTTCCCGTGGATGTTTGTTTTGGAGC